CATCCAGTAAGAGGTGGAGTTTAACAGTTCAGAGACCTGGCCACTGAGAGATCTGAGAGAGGTTTGTAAGAATGGCAATGAAGGGGCTGGAGAGATGGCTCAGAGGTTAAGAGCACCGACTGCTCTTCCAGAGGTCCTGAGTTCAATTCCCAGCAACCACATGGTGGCTCACAACCATCCGTTATGAGATCTGGTGCCCTCTTCTGGTGTGCAGATATACATGGAAGTAGAATGTTGTATACATAATAAATAAATAAAATCTTTAAAAATCTGAACTGAGTTCCAGGACAGCCAAGGCTGTTAGACAGAGAAACCCTGTCTTGAAACCTCCTCCCCCCAAAGGCAAAGAACAGGAGCCCCAAGTTTGAACCAAGACGCCAGCCAGCCAGGCACTCCTTGCTTCTAGGCTTCTCTGAAGTCTCCTGGGTCCCTGAAGCACTCCTGGGTGCTGATGGTAGCCCGGTGTGTCTGTTAAAGTCTTTGTAGACATTCTCCTGGGTCTATGTGTGTCCACACACATGCACACATGTACACAGATGTGTGTGGAAGTCAGAGGGCAACCTCAGATCTTGTTTCCTAGGAAGGCTTCCACCAACAGCTCCACCGGGTAGACTTCACCGGCTGACCAGTGAGCTCCAGAATTCTCTGTCTCTTCCTCCTGACCCATGTCGACACCAGCTCTGATGTTACAAGTTTTTGCTGTGCCCAGATTTTTATGTGGGGTCTGAGGAGGCCTCTGGTTCTCAAGGCAAGTGCCTTACAGGCTGAACCTTTCCCCAGACCCCATCTCTGTTGGACCTTTAAGACTCAGAGGTCAGGGGCCTGGAGAGATGGCTTAGTGGCTAAGAAGAGTACTGGCTGTTCTTCTAGAGGACCTTGGTTCAATCCCCAGCACCCACAGGGCAGTTCACAACTGTCTGTAACTCCAGTTCTGGGGGATCTGACACCTTCACACCAATGCACATAAAGTTAAAATAATAATTTTAACTGATTTTGTGGGCCATGTGGCACAAGTTGGAGAGGTTGAAAGAACTGAGTGAGTCCTGTCCTGTGACACTTTCCAGGACACTTTCGGAATGACTTAGGTGTAGATAGAGAAGCCAAGACGAATGTCTGAGATTTGGGTATTGCTCATGCTGTCTTGCAGTGACACCTCCCCCAGTGACTTGGAACAGTCCTGGCACCCACTGACCCTTTGCCTAAGCTGTTTGAGCTGCTTTCCTGGCTCATCATCTCATGGCAGCACAGGGGGCAGAAACCGTCTGTCAGAGGCAGCCAGCTTGCAGGGCGGGACTTTCTAAGCAGGAAGAGTGAAAGGGGTTGGAGAAAGCAACTGATGCAGGGCAAGGGTGGTCCACGGGTGGGAGTGGGAGCCGTGCAAGCCCGACAGCTTTTGTTGGGTCCCCGGAAGCCATGTGGAATGCTGTACGCAGTGGGAACTGGGAAGATGGGGAGGGGAAACAGAACTGGTGAGAGAGCTCGGAGTAATGCAGTGCAACAGAGACAAGAGACCGCACAAACAAACAAACAAACAAACGAACGAACGAGCACACGTAATTAATTCTCTTAACGACGACGACGTGCTTCCCCTGTGTCTAGCTGGCTGGCCTAGAACTTGCTATGTAGACCAGGCTCAGAGGTTCATCCACCTCTGCCTTCTGGCTAATTTAAAAAAACAAAAACAAAATAAAAAAAAACCTCCAAAGCTACACAGAGAAACCCTGACTCGAAAAACCAAAAATAAATAAATCAAGACCAATTCAAACGCTGTAAATTAAAAAGGGAAACCCCTGAAAGGAGTAGAACTAGCTGTTTGTGTGGCTGAATCCAGGGGCTCAAAGGTATCCTGGGGTGAGGGAGGAGGTGCTGGGGGGGGCAGAGAGCTGACCCAGCAGTTAAGAGTGAATACTGTCTTACAGCAGGCCAGGTTCAGTTTCCAACACCCATGTCAGATGGTTCATAACCGCTTGTAACTCCAGGTCTAGGGGATCTAGACCTCCTAGGGCACCCACTGGCAGTCATGTGTTCATACCTACCACAGCCATGCACACACACTCATCCTTTAAAGAGAGAACCACAGCCATGCACACACACTCATCCTTTAAAGAGAGAGACCTTAGTTCCCTCCCCATCATTATAGAAACAGGGATGATGGCGCATGCCTCCAAACCCAGTACTTGAGAGAGAGCAATGGAGGACGAAGCTCCATGGGAGGACAAGCCTGGGTTTTGTTTTTTGAGACAGGGTTTCTCTGTATAGCTTTGGAACCTGTCCTGGCACTCGCTCTGTAGACCAGGCTGGTCTCGAACTCACAGAGATCCTCCCGCCTCTGCCTCCTCGGTGCTGGGATTAAAGGCGTGTGCCACCAACACCCAGCTGTATCTGTAGAGTCTTCATTCGTCCTTGCTGCCACCTCACAGTCAATTGGGAAAGGAAAGGTTGCATTCTACCACTGCTCTGTTCCCGAGAAGTGTGTTGTGGGGTGACTATGCAATGATGCTTTAAACTCCCTTATGTGTGTCTTTGGCAGTGTCTGTACTCGAGTTCTGTTGGGTGTGTGCCTGGGCATGGACTCTGATTGGCTTGGTCCCTGGACACAGGTGGGCTCCGTTCCAGTAGCGCCCAACCACTGTGCATTCTTGAGGTAGTTATGGACTTGCTTCTCTCTTTCTGTCATATCCTACTAGAAAAGGAAGGGTCTAGCCTTCTCCCAGGGAAGAGAGAAGGGGTTCCCCGTTTCTCCTGTCTCGATGATGGGCCGTGCATACCGTGGGGTCTTCCCCATGGTTATGACTTCATTCTCTGGCGCCAGCTGGGTAAATGGCAGCTGAACCCTTCCTTTCCACAGGGTGGAGGGGCAAGAAAGTAAAGTGTTTGCTTTCCTCAGACCCGGATCCTTGGGTAGGCTCCTCAAAAACACAGGCCTCTGTGTTCACGTGACTGAAAGCACCCTGGCTTCCCAAGCAGTCTAGCATCATAGATGGAGCCCCCAGATTCCTGACTGTACCCCCTTCCCCATTTTAAATAAAAAAGGAAGACTTTGGCCTCAGAAAGAGGAACCCCAAGTAGGACGTGGTTTCACACTCAGAGGAAGTGGCACTGGAGGCAGCATGATGCTGGAGCAGCCACTAGCTGCTGTCCAGCCCAGTTAGCACCACCATCTAAAGGATATCTCTCAGAAACCAAACATGTCCTTTAAATCCGGAAGAATGTGACCTTGTGGTGGGCACGGAAATTCTACCACAAAAATTCTGTTTTGTTTTGGTATTGGGCTCCAGTTCATGGCCTCAGGCATGCTAAGCATGGTGTTGTATCCCTTGGCCACACACCCCCAACTCGGAAATCTTTTTTGTAGTCCAGGATGGCCTTGAACTTGCAATGTAGTAACTGAACTCCTGATCTTCCTGCCTCTGTCTGCCAAGTGCTAGGGTTACAGATGTGCACACCCAAGCCCAGTTTGTCCGTGTGGTGCTGGGAACTGAATGCAGGGCAGCATTGTGGATGTAGGCAAGTACTCTACCAATGGAACCACACCCTCTGCCTAGAAGTTCGAGATCTCTCTCTCTCTAAGAATAAAATAGTCTGGGCACAGTGGTGGCTCACACCTTAGTCCAGCATTCAGGAGGCAGAGGCAGGCCAATCTCTGTGAGTTTGAGGCTAGCCTGGTGTACACAGTGAGACCATCTTAAAAAACAAAATAATAAAAATAAAAAACAATAAAATGTTTGCCCTGAGGTGGTAGCACACACCTTTACTCCCAGCACTCGGGAGGCAGAGGCAGGCGGATCTCTGAGTGTGAGGCCAGCCTGGTCTACAGAGTGAGTTCCAGGACAGCCTCCAAAGCTACAGAGAAACCCTGTCTCGAAAACCATCTTTAAAAATGGTGAATAAATTTGATTGTATAAGCATTAACCCTTCTGCTTACTGCTTAGCTTGAAACTAGAAATCATAGCGTCCCCCATCTTCACCCTAGGCTGGTGGGGGCAGCAGAAAGAATGTGAAAGCCCTAGGGGTGGTGAGGGGGTGCTGGAGGGGTGGTGAGGAGGGTGGGGAGGAGTGCTGTGAAATGTTGTTTTCTTGATATGACGTGGTTGTTGTATCCATGAATGCACAGCCGCAGCCAGTTACTTGCATAAGACCTGCACAAGATTGGGTCTGTCTGCATCCCATCGGGCCAGGCAGCCTGAGGCCGTGAAGACCCACTAACCTGGAAGTTTAAAACACACAGGACATTCTAGGGGTTGCTTGTGGATACAACACTAGTAATAAGAGTATAAAAACATTCATGCAAATGATAAGTGGCTGGGTTGCAGATTGCGGGGACCTAGAAGGGGAAGGCTGGTGGTGGTGGGGAGGGATTTGGTGACCAGGAGATTGGGTGGCACACACTCTCCTTGTGTCCTGTTATGTGTAATGTTTTGTTATTACTGTGGGACTGTGTTGGGGGCAGGGGATGACGGAGGGGTTGGCATGACACATACTGTAAATTCTTAGATAAAGTTGTTTATTCCCCCCCCCCTCTCTCTCTCTCTGTGTGTGTGTGTGTGTGTGTGTGTGTGAGATCTCATGGACCCCAAGCAGGTTTGAACTCCTTGTCAACACCCTTCACCTCGCAAGTATTGGACTTGTAAGTAGGCCTGGCTAGTCAAAGCTGTTTTAAGCTAATTGGTTTCTGGCTAGAAAGTTTCTAAGAGTTGCAGACTTTGGTCTTCATTTCTCAAATGTCTGGCCATTCTTCCTGTGTCCCCCTCAGGGTCATCTGTTGGCCATAATGTGGTGTTTTGGCTTGTGACAAGTCCATCTGTAATGAGAGTTACCTCAGCCCAGAGAGTGGTCTAAGGTGGTGGCACAAACCACCTAGGCAGGATGTGTGTGGCAAGCTTTGTGTGTCCCCCTGCAGCCCAGATCTGGCCATCCACTTTCCAAGGTCCCTGTCCAGCCCAGCATGGCTGGCTCATTCTGTCTTTGCCTTTCCCTCAGGACAGCGGGCCTCAGAGCAGTAAGGCAACAGAATGCCCCCTGGGGTGGACTGCCCCATGGAGTTCTGGACCAAAGAAGAGAGCCAGAGCGTGGCTGTTGACTTCTTGCTGCCCACAGGGGTCTACCTGAACTTCCCGGTGTCCCGAAATGCCAACCTCAGCACCATCAAGCAGGTACAGCCTCCACCTTAAGGCCAGTCCTCAAACGGTGATGTTTACACACAGAACCCCTGGGTGTAAACTGTATATGTGTGTGTCAGCCAGAGGATAGCCTGGGCTATCATTTCCCACATGCTGTACACCGTGTTTTTGTTTTCTTTGGGTTTTTGATACAGGTTTTCACTGGAGTAGGCTAGGCTGTCTGGCCAGCAAGTCAAAAGGAGGTACCTTCTCAGCTTCTTTAGCATTGGGATTACAGAAGAGTGCCAGCACACCCCACGGCTGTTTTGTTTGAAGATTTACTTATTTTGCTGGGCTGTGGTGGCACCTGCTTTTATTCCCAGCACTCAGGAGGCAGAGGCAGGCAGATCTACACAATGAGTTCCAGGCTGTCGAACAGAGAAAGTCTGTCTTGAAAAACAAAACAAAACAAGATTTAATTATTTTTTTCTTTTTTATTTAAATTAGAAACAAGCTGCTTTTACATGTCAATCTCAGTTCCCTCTCCCTCCCCTGCCCCCCCCCCCCGATTTAATTATTATTTTCTGTGTATCCACTATGTGTGTGCCTGGTGCCCACCAGGGGCTAGAATCCCCTGAAGCTGGAGTTACAGATGGTTTTGAGCCACCATGTGGTTGCTGGGAACTGAACCCAGGTCCTCTGGGAGAGCAGCCAGTGCTCTTAACTGCTGAGTCATCTCTCCAGCCCCCCACCCCCACCCCTTTAGTTGTGAGTTGTGAGGGATTGACTCAGGTGAAGTGATCGCTTTGCTCTTCACCAGCTGAGCTGTCACCCGAAGCCCTCAGATGTGAATTTTACTTACAAGATAAAATTTCTAAGAATTGTTTAAAAACCTGTGGTTAACTCCACTTATCATTCCAAAGCCAGCTTCCCCTTCGTCAGCAAGCATTTCCCTTCACTAGATTACTAGATTGCGAGCCAGAGTCAAGGCTGCCTCTCTCTGGCTGGGCTCTCATCCCACCCATGAGTGTGCGGTCTTTTTGGAACCACTCTTTCTACAGTGCTTAAGAGCCTTGTGGCCTATTCCTAATTAGAGCTGTCGACACCACAGAGAGCACCGTTGTTAGAAAGGGGTTTGGGTTTTATTGAGTCATTTTCAGGGTGACTTGCTGAATCCAAACACGGCACACACCTGGATTGCATTTGGTAGTTGCTGTCTGTGACTTGGAAAGGGCTTGTGTGAACCCACTAAGTGTGGCATTTACTGGGTTAGGAGTTGAGCTACCAAAGGCTGAGACCTTATCTCAGAATTTTTGTTTTGTTTTTTTAGACAGGGTTTCTCTGTGTAACAGAGCCCTGGCTGTCCTGGAACTCTCTGTAGACCAGGTTGGTCTTCAATTCACAGAGATTTCCTGCCTCTGCCTCCTGAGTGTTGGGATTGCGCCACCACGCCTGGCTCTTACCCCAGAATTTTAAAAGCCATAAATGGAAAGAAGGAAAACCAGCTATAGAAGTAAGAATTGTGTGGTCTCCCTGCTTTCCTGAGCCATTTCCTTTAATATTAATTTTTCCCACTAAGAAAACAATATAGACACATTAAAATTTAGGAAAGTAAGAAAAAGCACGTTTTGGGGTGTAGCTCAGTTAGTTAGGGAGCTTGCCCAAAATGCACGATGTCCTGGGTTCAAATCCCAGCACATCCTGTAATCCCAGCATTAGGAAACTGGAAGTTCAGAAGGTCTGGGTCCTCCTCAGCCACACAGTGAGTTCAAGGACATGCTGGTCTCTTGTCTCAAAAATGAAAGGTGGGCTGGAGAGATGGCTCTACTAAATTGAACTCTGACCTCCACAATGCACCAGCACATGTGTCCTCTTGTAACACAATAAACAAACAAATAACTAAATGATACTTAAAAACAGGGAAAGAAGAAAAATAACTGCCCATGATAGAGTCAGATGAGGCCATTACCAGCAATATCTGGACTAGTTCCTGGTTTTGTTTTTTACTAAAAATTTTAGGTTTATTTATTTTCTTGTGTATGTATCTTGCATGTATGTGTGTGCCATGGTATGCATTTGGAGATCAGAGGACAGCTTGCAGGAACCTGGCGGCATCTTCTATCATGTGTGTTCTGGGGACCAAGCTTGTGCTGTCAGGCTTGGTGACAAAGTGTGTCTACCTGCTGTGCCATCTTGCTGGCCCCCAACTCGTGTTATACCTGTGCTTTGAGTCTTAGGAAAATTCTGGTGATGAGCTTTTGTATCTCTCTCTCTCTCTCTCTCTCTCTCTCTCTCTCTCTCTCTCTCTTTTCTGAGACAGTGTCTC